ACTGCTCTGGAAAGTCCGCTACATATGCAGCAAGGATCGGATACACTCGACGGATCAACGCATCAGCACACACCATTTCAACGCCGTCTTCACCTGCAGCAACAAGGGGTTGAAGGAGGAGGGACATGCAATGATGGAATAGTCGGTAGTTGGCGAGGGAGCGTTCATCAGGTGTAAAGCAGTCAAGCTTTCCTGAAGGTAGGTAACCAATCAGGACTGTCGCTCGTGCTGATGTTTGCCGCCGTTTTTCTTTAGCAATGTTTCCAATAGAGAGGTACACAGGATATGCCGTTTTGTCGCCTCGGAATTGCGACAGACTCGTTTTGTCTGTTGCAAGAATAATTGGCGCAATGGTCGCTCCTTCCGGCACCTTTTTCTGGACAACACAGGTCAGTGCTTGTCATTTTCGATGTTTTTTTTGATATGGTGCTTACTTGCATGTCACACCACCAATCTGCAGTCCACATGTCGTCTATCACCCGGTGGAGTCCTGCAGAGTCCGTGTATGCGCGAGCAGGTGTGTACACCATTTGATCCTTGAACAAAGGATTTCCGATCAAGTCCTTGATGCACTCTACAGGATTGCGCATCCACAGTTCAACATCTTCGTGCAACGGTTCGCCTTTTTCGTCCGTTCTATTTCCCTGAACGCTAATCTTCTTACAGCTCCAGGCGGCTCCATGCGGGAGTTCATCAACCTTCTTGAGGAATGATCGGTTGTTGTGGAATGAAGCTTGCATTCGGTTTCGGGTCTATCACGCTGGTCAGTACATTTTTTCGGTGCTTGATGCCAAACTTACAATCGGTAACTTTAGAAATTCATCGGTTCGAGTCTGCCCAAGGCTTTTTACAAGCCACTCAGCGAGACCCCACTCTTCCCTGGCAGCTAAAGTCAGGCAGAGGCCATCAACATGAAAGGGTACGTACTCGTCACAAAATGGAGCCCACTCGTCCTCACCCATGCCTTCCTTGTACTTCTGGTATCGTTCAAATTCAGTTTCCCCTTCCCGCAGTGCCCATCCACCATCAGAACATTGCTTGAAATAGCGCCCACCACCTCCCACTACCTCACCTTCATCCACTACCTCACCTTCGTCAGCGACATCCTCGACCGTCACACGCCGACTTTTTGGTGCCGGCGGATTAAGTTCATCAGCCTCGAAAGAGTTGGACCGTGAGCGGCGAAGTGGGGAAAATGAGTTGCCAGCATCATCGTTCTCCATAGAAGGTGCGTTGTCTTCCAAGTCTTTTTCTTCAATCGTTAACTCCCATGCCGTTCTGCATTTAGGCTGGTTAGCTATGTGTCTCTTGATGCCCCCCCTCGTAGGGAACTCCTTGCCACAAAATGTACAGCAGTGCGACATAGTATGTGAGTAGGTGAGTGTTTTCGCCCTGGTCTTAGGTGACTTGTCTCATTGTAGTATGCCCTTTTTTTTTTTTCAATGGCCTGGTCTAGACTTAAACTGGGCGCAGTTACCGGGCGCCGCGCCACAACTAGATCCGAGCACCACACCACACCACACCACACAACCCTTAATGAGTTGGAAAGTACGGCAAGTCTTGGCTGGTTTTGTTGATTGGGAGGACGATCCATGAGGTGCACGGCTGGGTTTGTTGATTGGGAGGGGTGTGCTTATCCTGATCTTGCAACCAGACTGTGCCCTCACAAAGTGCAAGAGGGACTTATCCCAGTTCTGCCACCAGATGCACCCTCACAAACCTACGGATTACGGCCTCGTTTAGACTCGATCGGTATGCCAAAGTTACGGCCTCGTTTAGACTCAATCCATGCGCCAAGTCGCAACCAGGTACGGGTTTTTTTTTTTTGAGGATGATCCATGAGGTGTGCTTACCCTGGTCATTCCGTCTACAGTAAGATAGGCAAAGATCCTGCCTGCCATTCTGCCAGTATCCTGCCCGCCATTCCGTCTACAGTAAGATAGGCAAAGATCCTGCCATTCCATCTACAGTAAGATAGGCAGAGATCCTGGTCATTCCGTCTACAGTAAGATAGGTACATGCTCTTATTCTGATCGGTTTGAATGATACTTACATCTTGCCTAGTTCCCAACACACAACCTCGATTACAATCTTCCTCGTCTAGCGAGAGAACAAGATCGAGAGAGCCAATGACCAATTCTAGTATGTTAATTCTCATCTCTGATACTAGCTAATTTGATGTGCTACGTTAGTTTGGAAATACCATGGGCGGCCAGAAGTACCTCTAAAAGCTGCGCCCGTTTGGCTTCCTCGCACCGTTTCACCTCCGCATCCCAGCGCTCAACGACGAGCCTTCGTATGCTCGCTTGTAAGACACTAATAGCTGGGCCTGGTGCTATTTCTAACAGTTGCAGTTTTTTTGCTTGCTCGCAGGCCTTCACTTCTGCCTCCCAACGCTCCAGAATTAGGTTTCGTATGTAATTCTGGGAAGCTGTGACAGGGCCAGGTGTTTGACGAAACGGAGGGCACAGGAACATGGGCTCTGCATCAGGCCTTTCGAGCTTGGGTCTGCAAGCCGGTGAGTATTTGAGTGTAACGTGGAATGGCAACTAACCTTTTGACGTCAATTTTCGTGTCTTCACAGCCAGCCTCTTTGCGACCAGCAATTTGTGACATCGGGCTGCAAGATTCGTCAGAGCACAGTGAGTTTTGAAGCAAGCTCCATACCGTTTTTTTGACTGAGTCGGGGGTATTCATAACAGTGAAAATAAATTGTGACGGTATGATCATACCTTTTTATCGTCCCTCTCGTTTGACACAGCTTTCAGCCCTTCATTCTTCAAATCAACAATCAACGAACTATTAAGGTTCAATTGTGAGTTATTTGTCTGTTTCGCAGTGGTATAAATTGTGCTGACCTGCTGTGTACTTTGACTAGACAACCATGGCACCTCGTAAGCCTACCTCCAAGCCAAAGCGCGCCCCCTCACCACCTGCCGCAAAACAAAAGCGCGCCCCCTCACCACCTGCCGCAAAACAGCAGGTGCGCACTGCAAGTGGTCAAGAGCGGCGACCAACTGAAAAAGAGAACTACCGTCAGTAAGTACCAGCACATTATGTTCCGCTCACTCACCATCTCGTTCTACAGTCAGCGAATCCCAACATGTTGTCCATCGCCAAGAAATCAAGGAAACCCGGACGGCAAAACAGAAGAAGAAGGCCTTAAAGGCTGCCTACCAAGGGCATCCTGACGTCTTCGAGAAAGAGCCGTCAGAGCTCCTTAGCGACATGGACAGGCAAGAAGACACAATGGTACGAGCTTTTGTTTTCTTTCCTCATCTTAAATCAGCCGCTGACATTTATTTTTTTCAGTTCTCTGACCACAGTGTCGATACAAGGTTGTCCAACACTAATAGCCTGACATTCAGTACAGGGAAAATCCCTCCAAGGTTGCGCAACTCATCCATACCTACAACCAAAGGACCAAAAGGTATGTTTTTACTTTATATAATTACACTACTAACCCTCCATCAAACAGCACCACATAATGTTGACGAGTCAACAGATGACGACGACGACGACGCTGCCGACGATGCTGACGATGACGACGACGAACAGTTGCCTGCAGCTCGAGGGACCAAGCGATCATTCGATGACATGTCATATGAAGATACCGTGGTGCCGAAGGTCAAGAAAAACGCTGACGGTTCGCGTCGACGCGTGAAAGCCAGCGACTTTGACGAAATCTCGAAAGAGATTCTCATAACTGCTTGCTCCGTTTATCGGTGTCTCATCGTCACACAGGCACCTTTTCCGGATTCCGTTGCAGCTGAGACAAAACTGGCGAAAGAGGCCTGGCGCGAGGCATGTCAACTCAAAGGTGTTGACGTCAAACTGACCCCTTCGGCGGTGAATATGGTGAGCACAGTATTTTTAGTGCATTCCTGGTCTTATTCGTTCAAAGCTGTTGAAACGCGCTTCACACGTGCGAGGCGAACTCAAGATGAAGATGCGTCCGCTCACGGCTTCATTTCACGGCTTCCGCTCAAGTAATTCTATGGAGGTGATAAGGTCAAACCGAGATCTCGCAGAGAGATTGAAAATTGGCTCGATCTTTGTTTTCAAGGTGAGTATTCGACGGTCTACATAACTTAGTGCTGACATTGAGCAATAGGACCCGTCATCCAAGTCAGGCATCTACAAGACCGAGTTGCTTCAACAGGGTATCAACAGCATGTGGTTCTTGAACCGAAGTGACGAGGGTGTCATCTACCACAAATACTTCGACCCCATCCCTATCAAAACTATTGCGCTCGTGCTTACGGCTGTGAGCCGTTTTTCACATTCTTACTTTCAACTTGATGACGCTGACAATATCTTATAGATAGAATGTTGTGTTGATGAGTGGTCGCAAGGCATCAAAGAGGACATCAAGTTCACATCTGCTGGTTATGGGGCCGTCTACAACCATCATTTCAGCTCACTGCAACGCTTTGATGAGCGCACTGCACCTTACAAACTCCTTTCAAAAATTCGTATCAATCTGCATGATACAGCGCGGTATGTTGGACTCTTATCTCACTGACTCTTCTAATGCTCGCGCTTCTCAGCTTCCACGCAGGTGTCGCATCACTCATTCCATTGTCAGCTACATCCCAGGCCCACATCGACGACGCGGCGTTTGAAGACGCTATTCGAGAGTACCAGCGTGAGGGGAAGGATGCGGCAGTCGAGGATGAGGTCGAGGAGTATGAGTATCCTAGTAGCGAGGGTGGGGATGATGAATAGGGACGCAGTGAGTAAGACGTTCGTATTATGCTAGTTTGTGTTTCAGGTGGTTGAATTTAATTGTGACTACGAGGTTCTTTGGTGTGCTATATAGCTGCTGGTAGTAATTTATAGCTGCGTGCAGTAGCACTCCGACAAACTACGGTAGTACCTCGTAGCTACTGGTAGTTACTATGGGACTCTATGGTGTACTACATAGAGGGCACTTGACAACGGGGCTACTCGCGCTACCCTGACTATATAGCACTATGTAGTCACTATGTTTTTTCCTGATGCGTACGGGTGCGGGTAGGCCTCTGAAGTTCCATCTACCCGCGGATTGGGTACGGGTGCCACCCGGGTCCACCCATGTCACGCCCTAGGTACAGATCATGTTCAAACAACTTCATATGTCATTCCAAACACTTTGAATCCTCGTTAATGATCAACATGTGCATGTGAGTGTCTGCCTGCATACAGGCTCTATAGTGCTGTATTCACTTCTCACCAAATTTACAGTGCGTGTCCTCTGTGTTCACACTACTAGTATGCATCTTGCACGATTGTTATATTACCTCTGATGCGTGCATCTATGTTGGTTTTCACATGCCTAGTGTCAAGTGTTGTCTCACTGCGTCAAGCCTCAGCGTCACCCTGTCAAGTTCAATCTACTCTCTATACTCTGCACCACCACGTCAAGCGACTCAAGCCCCAACCATGACATTGCAAGAAGCCTCGTTTAGGCTGGGTCAAGCACCACTCACACCACGACAAGTTCTCCAAAACATCTTCGCGGTCTCTGTACTAATATCAACATTCACACTCTATGCCGCGTCAAGGTCTACTATCAGTGCCGCGTCAACCATAGCACATACCGCGTCAGTGCCGCGTCAAACAAGTTGTGCGGCGTGCCGCGTCAAACCTTGTCCATGCCGCGTCACTGCCGCGTCAAACCTCGTCACTGCCGCGTCACCCGCGCGTCACTGCCGCGTCAAACTTCACTCATGCCGCGTCAAACCTCACCACCTCAACTAACGAGCTCGGCTATATGTTCTCACCGTACTACCACGAGATGAAGCTGGCACTATTACTTATACCGTGACATCGTCTTGCTATCGCCATCCTTATCCCACCTTCAAATCGGCTACTGGTGAGTAACTTGGGTTTTCATGTTCAGTTACTGTTGCTGCCAGGCTTGTTGGATGATCTGACAAGCTTGGGACAATAATCACATGGGGTGTTTCACGGCTGCCGTATGTCGCCGCAACTCGCACCATCACTGTGATAATCGATAATCTACGACTCCTACAACATCGCTTATCTCGGAACTAACCAACATGTCAGACAGGATAAGACAAGTATATAATCACCTCTCAGGTTCAAACACGATGTCGGCCGGTAAGCCCTGCTTATAATTGCGCCACTGTACCCCGGCATTCAAATCATTTCACGAATCAGAAACATGGCAGGATGTTCCCCTTGCTCCACCCGACAGGTGCGTACAAGCTACAACATATCTGCATCCTTCACTAAAAGTCACGGATAGCATTTTTAAATTGACCGCGGCGTATAAGGCGGATACGTTTCCTCAGAAGGTCAACCTTGGTGTTGGAGCATATAGAGATGATGACAATAAACCTTGGGTCCTTCCTGTTATCAAGAAGGTGTGTTTTCTTTATATCCTAACTACGCTCTAGACTCAATCGCTGCGCCACCATAGGCCACACAAATTCTTCTGAATGATCCTAATCTCGATCACGAATACCTCCCCATCACGGGTTTACCAGAGTTCAGTGCCGGTGCGGCAAAGCTCATCCTTGGTGCCGATTCGCCTGCCATCGCAGAAGGGCGTGCTGTTAGCGTACAGACCATATCCGGAACTGGCGCAAACCACTTGGGTGCCTTGTTTCTAAGCAGGTTTTATCACTGGGATGCCCCAAAGCAGATTTACTTGAGCAATCCCACCTGGAGTGAGTTTTTATAGGACTGGGTGCGATGGAAGTTTAATCAGGCGTTCCTGCAGCTAACCACCATGCCATCTTCAAGAATGTTGGAATCCAACCTATAGATTATCCTTACTATGACCCGGCCACCATCGGGCTAGACTTTGATGGCTTCATTGGAACCCTAGAAAGTGCTGCGCCGGGCTCGGTATTTTTACTACACGCTTGCGCCCACAACCCCACAGGAGTTGACCCTACTCGTGACCAATGGAAACACATCGCTGAAGTCATTGTCGCTAAAAACCATTACGCATTCTTCGACTGCGCTTACCAGGGCTTTGCGAGTGGCGATCTCAACAACGATGCGTGGGCAGTTAGATACTTCGTAGAGAAGGGTGTGCCGATGCTTGTGTGTCAGGTCAGTGCGTCACTCGTTGGGCTACTGCAGCACAGCTGATTGGACCAGAGCTTCGCCAAGAACGCGGGTCTGTATGGCGAGCGGATCGGTGCGCTGCACGTCGTCCCTCCTACGAAGGATGCTGCAGACCGTGTTAAGAGTCAGCTGTCGGTTTTACAGTGCAGTGAAATAAGCAACCCACCGGCTTACGGTGCACGCCTAGTGAGTTGATTTCAGTATGAACTGCGCTCATCTGATGAGGGGTGGGAATAGGTCTCGCTTATTCTCAACGACAGTGCCCCCTTTGACGACTGGAACCGTGACATCAAGACCATGGCTGAGCGAATCATATCCATGCGCAATGAGCTTTATCGACTCCTGACGGAGGAGCTGAAAACGCCAGGTAGTTGGGTTCATATCATCAACCAGATTGGCATGTTCAGGTGAGTTTGTGCTATTGGTCGCGTATTGGCGCCATGGTGTGGCTTGGATGGCGCAAAGCGTACCGTCCTGGGAATGAACATCGTACTGATAACGGGCCACAGCTTCACTGGAATCAATCCATCTCAGTCTCAAGCACTGATAGATACTTTTCACATTTACTTGACAGCCAACGGACGAATTTCGATGGCTGGGCTGAACTCGCACAACATAAGATACTTTGCAGAGAGCTTGGACAAGGTGGTCAGGGGGCAGGTGTAAATGACTTGCGGATTGCCAAGATATTTGATAGCGATGTCTTGGAGACGAACATATTAGATCAACTACTAGAAACTCAACTCGGACGTCAGTTATAAATAAATTTCTGCTATATTTCCTACCTATATTTGGACTGAATTGTGCAGAAAAGTGTCGGAATTTCGCCAAACAACGACAAAATTAACTTTGTTGCAAATGTGTTTCGTGGAACTTCTGGTCATGCGACGCTGAACAATCAAAATACACCTTGCAGTATTTGGTCTTTTCTGTCGTAGCCCTGGATACCTGCCAGCAGAGATAAATTCAATCCAACGATGATTTGGTACGATTCTCGCGAATACCACACAGCTGCTGAAGCGCTAAAGTCTGAACCAGTGGCTGGAGCCTGGTGCACACTGGTGCACACTGCACGGAGGCAACATCCTACCGATGGCCTGTGGCTGAGCCACACTGCTGGCCATACTAGTCGCGTATTAGTAACTGTTGCCAAATCGGTGCGGTCTCCAATACAGCACACACATGGCTGTGACTGCAACTTGAATGCTCGACCAATGTTGAACAATATATTTCCGTGTGTTGAGCGCCGTTGTAGATGGCCGCGCAACAACCTCGCTTACGGAAATAAAGCTGTGGTCAACGGGAAGATCAACAAGACAATTAAAAACCTCCATTTCATACCACAGGAACATACCAAGAGTGGTGCTTGCTGTTACGTCGACTGTTGGTCGGCGTAGTGGGAACTAGGATAGGTCTTCTCAGCGACGAGTCGAGTGACTCTACTGAAGCTGAGCGTGGTCTGGCCTTGACGGAACGTCAAGGATTCCTCCGGCGATCTCGGTAAGACGGCGCTCGTCGAGATGCAGGGCTAGCGGATACGTGCAGAGGCGTATGGGAGCGACTCTGAAGTGCGGTCTCACACAAGGAAGCTTGTTAGAGCTAAGATGAGCAAGTTCTTGGTAGAACCTAGTAGATTAAAGTGAAGTTCAATCTACAACAATGTGCCTACTTATACATAGGGTATGTAGGTGTTCAAGCTCAGTCTGTAATCTATAGTATATCGTACATCTAAGATAACCAGACATGAGGTGAGATAAAGTACATGAGGCTTAACCTCTGATCATACATGCGGCGCCAAGGGCAGCTGCGCATAGGTACAGGAGCGCCAAGCGCTCCGGGTCTTCATACATGAGGCGCCTAGGGCGCTCCGGATCTCCATGAAGCGACATGCTGTATACATGCGCTGATCTAGGGTGTCCATGAGGCGTACAGCCTCCATGGAACAGGTACAAGGCCGTCTAGGCCAGGGGCGGGGTCATAGCGTCAGGCGGGGTCATAGCGCCATGAGGCGGGGTCATAGCGGTCCAGACCGCTGTCTTTCTAGGCGCAGGCGGCGCATCCGCCGCGTGGGGAGTCTAGCAGAGCGGGGGCAGGTGTAGGGAGAGCTGGGGCTCTAGTAGGTGTTACAGATCCCTGTAACATTACCCCGTTACTAAGGTTGAAGTCACCGGCTTCAATTAACACTACGTCCAAAGGCTGGGAGGACGGTGCAGGTGTCGAGGGAGTTTCTGGCACAGGCGTCAAGGGTATCGGCGTCGCGGGCATAGGGGAAGGTGGAATGGGGAAGGCGAGCGCGAGGTCGGCGAGTGCTTTATGGTTCTGCTCCCAATCTAAGAGAGCTTCGAAAAACTTCTCTTCATCTGAAAACTCTTGGAGCACGATGCGTCCCTTGAGTCCAGGGCAGTGGATCGATAAATGATCCGGTCCAATCTCGCTGCAGATGCAGCAGACGTAATCAGGACACTGTCTAAAAGTGTGCCCGTATCCACCGCAACGCTTGCAGAGCGTGCGGGTTCTATCCATCGTGGCCGCTCTTTTTCTAGGCAGAGGTCGCACGGGTCTAATTTCTTCTTCGGCGTGTGGCTTTGACATGAGCCGTTCTACCGCGAGGTTCACGAGGTCGGGGAAGTCGAGCGGTAGGAGGTGAAGCGCCATAGCGCGAATTCTTTTCTGAAGGTGGAGTACGGCGAGTGTACGAGAACCTTCGTCTAGGTCTTTACGAAGTGCGGCGTCTTCTAGCAACTTCGTGGTCTTTATATCTGTACGGCGAGGGAAGTGCTCGCGGCAGTGGCTTGCACTCATGTCACCGAGGATGTTGTCGATCTCTCGGGAGTACGCGGGGGTGAGGATGGCGGTTTCGCTAAACGCGCAGTTCTCAATCGTGCTGACGATCCGTCCATAGTCGGAGTCCTTCAGCGTCACAGTGGTAGGGTTTTCGATGGGAGTCGTCATGATGATGGGAGTTTCTGAGGAATGTTAACCGTAGGGAGAGTGTCTTATATGTTTCTCCAGGTCGTTCCAAGCTCCGCTTGAGTCAGACTTATCTTTCGTTGTAACCCTATCAAGGTTCAATCAGCGAGGGCGTGTCGCTCCTCGGTTCTAATCTATCATCAGAGGGTGATAATCATTGCCATGATGGGTGGGCGCGTTCCATTATCTATTTGTTGATTACGGTCGGCGGATCTAGAGGATCTAGCGGGCTTGCAGGAGTTTCCGAAAGGTTCGCCTCGTGATAGTTTAAGCGTCTTTCCGGACGATCAGGGGAAGGTAAGGGCCGTGAGGCTTGCAGGAGTTTCTCTGGGGATTCCCTCGTCTTCATCGTCTTCTGGATCTTTTGTTAAAGTCGGATCTTCGAAGAGTGGTCTAGTTTAAGCGTCGTTTCGGACGTGCGGTGTCATAACCTTTTGTTAATTGCTTACGCGAGGTCGAGGACAGGTGGTATCCAAGCATAGGGGGCCGGAGGGTGTCCGGGGTCGTCCAGCGAGGAAGGTAGTTTAATGTCGTTTCAGACAGTCTTAGTTTAATGTCTTTCCGGACAATCGCGCAGTTTATAGTCGTGCTGGACTCGGACCTAGTTTATAGTCGTAGCGGACTTGGGTCTAGTTTAGCGTCATAGTGGACGTGTCGGCGAGAATCGAAAGGGGTAGAGACCTATTAGATAGAAAAAGGTGTGGAAAAGGTAAAAGCAATGATGAATTTACCCCGTCACTAGGACGTTGATCTACCACGATTAACGAAATTAAAAGTCCAATTCGAGTTCTCCGCAGTCAGGGTCGTCAGAAGGAGAGGCGAAAATGAAATCGCCGATCGTCCGAATATATGAGGATCCGGGGTAGTCTTCTTCGTCAGAATCGGAGTCGGACTCATTAGAGTCCTCATCAGCCGATAAGGCTGGGTCAGGAAGCGCGGGGGGCGTCAGAGGACGCGCATTCAAGCGCTGGATCACCATGTCGAAATAACTTTCGACTGGGTTCTGGTTGGGTTCAACCGACGACATTTGTACGTCGGTTGCTGGGGGTGTCGCGGGGCTTACAGCATGGCCCGGTTCAGTGGTTTCGCTGTCGGACATAGGCATGTCCTGGTGACAGAGAGGGACCGTTTCTTCGTTATCGAACCGGAGTTTCTTGGCTGCCGGTCGATCTGCCGTGAAGACGGCTCTTCCTTTTCCGAGAACAGATACATGGCTCTCCGGAAAACATAAACTTCGTCTGAGTTTTCTCTGGTTCAGGGGCCAGTCTAGGGTGCTTGGCAGGGGGTGGCTCTGCGGTAGCGATAGCGCGTCCTTTGCCAAGGACAGACGCGGGTTCTGCCGAGAATGTTAATTTCGGCTCAGAGGCGACGGAAGGCCTCTTCTTTTCATTATGAGTCGGGAAGGGATTCTTCGGGACTGATGGGGGCGCCAAAGACGTAGAAGTCTTGGCGGCTTGGTTCCTCACAGCTTCTTCGGGCTGTGGTGCGGTCTGCTGCGGCTGAGAGGTTGCGGCAGTCTGGGGTGTGGGTCCTTCTTCGGGGATTTCCACAATCGTGGCATAGGGCATGGCAGCCGGTGCCGGTGCTAGTTTATACTCTTTACGGAGTTTCTTCTTCGTCTGAGAGCGGTCAGCGACTCGCTTATCTTTCTTCTGGAAGAGGGGCGTCAGGCCGTTCTTCTTCCGTTCGGCATCTATATCCCGTTCCATGTCTCTGGATTCGGGGGTGGCGGCGAGGGTCAGGGTGGACGCCGTCCAATCTATGCTAGGGTTGTTGGCGATTAGCCATGGTTGCCCAAGCAGGAACTTATCTGAGTATGATAACTCAGCGAGATAAAACCTAACAGGCGTTACCCGTTCATCAACTTTGACCGTGAGGGTGCAGTATCGGGAGATAGGCCCTCCGGCCGTAGTAGATCCGTCCGCGTTAGTTACCGTGATTGGCTTCTTCAGCGGGTGCGATGAGATGCGGTGCTTCTTGCAGTAATCCTTATGAATGAAGGATCGGCAGGCACCCGAGTCAACGACCATAGAAGTCGTTATCGGTGCTTCTCTTCTTTCTGAAATCAAGGTTACAGGAACCCGGAATTCGCGTTTCTTACCGATGGTCTTAATTGACCTAATCGGGTCTTCATCGACAATCTTTCTCCTATCTCGGCAGAGATTGTCACTGGCACGGTGGCCGGTCGCGTTGCAGTTGAAGCATCGCCTGCTGTTAAGGCGGATGCGGATTTCTTTCCCGTTGAGATGGGAGGCCGCGGCGATCTTCGTGCGTGTGGATGAGGGTCGGGCTTCATTCTTTTCTCGCCTGGCCAAGGCGGTCTTCGATTGATTCTTTTCTCGCCGTATCACGGCGGTCTTCATCGTCAGCGCCTTCTTCGGGGACACTACGTGTGTACGGCGCTCTTCTTCGGGAGTCGTCCGTGAGGAGGATGCGATATTGTTGGCGTAAGGCATGTCCTATCATACAATGCTGGTCGAGGCAAGGTGCGTATCTGGGTGTGCGTCGCGTAGATAGGCGACGATCAGATAGACTTTAATCTTTTGTTACGTCGACTGTAGGTCGGCGTAGTGGGAACTAGGATAGGTCTTCTCAGCGACGAGTCGAGTGACTCTACTGAAGCTGAGCGTGGTCTGGCCTTGACGGAACGTCAAGGATTCCTCCGGCGATCTCGGTAAGACGGCGCTCGTCGAGATGCAGGGCTAGCGGATACGTGCAGAGGCGTATGGGAGCGACTCTGAAGTGCGGTCTCACACAAGGAAGCAGTTTAAGCTTAGATGAGCAAGTTCTGTGGTAGAACCTAGTAGATTAAAGTGAAGTTCAATCTACAACAATGTGCTACTTATACATAGTATAGTAGGTGTTCAAGCTCAGTCTGTAATCTATAGTATATCGTAATCTAAGATAACCAGACATGAGGTGAGATAAAGTACATGAGGCTTAACCTCTGATCATACATGCGGCGCCAAGGGCAGCTGCGCATAGGTACAGGAAGCGCCAAGCGCTCCGGGTCTTCATACATGAGGCGCCTAGGGCGCTCCGGATCTTCATGAAGCGACATGCTGTATACATGCGCTGATCTAGGGTGTCCATGAGGCGACAGCCTCCATGGAACAGGTACAAGGCCGTCTAGGCCAGGGGCGGGGTCATAGCATCAGGCGGGGTCATAGCGCCATGAGGCGGGGTCATAGCGGTCCAGACCGCTGTCTTTCTAGGCGCAGGCGGCGCACCGCCGCGCGGGGAGTCTAGCAGAGCGGGGGCAGGTGTAGGGAGAGCTGGGGCTCTAGTAGGTGTTACAGATCCCTGTAACACTTGCACAGTGACAATAACTGTCAAGACCCTCCTTCCAGAATTCCAATCATCCCGAGTTATCGCTGACAGGGCCAGGGTAGATGAACAGACAAATAAAGTCAGACAGCACACAAGCTTGACTCGTGACACAAAAGCAACTTCATCAAGATGCACGTCCGACAAGACAATTGACAATGATTCTCTTGCAGTGAGCGTGTGGCACCGTGACAATAACAGTGATCGATCGTTAAAGCCTAATAGCAGCAGTGTCAGGATAGTGCATGCATCGAACGTCTAATATGCAAGCTCCATAATTGCTAGAGGGTGCGTCCATTTCAGTGCAACCAATCGTTCATTCCAGTCCAACCAATTGTCCATTCTAGTGCAATCAACCATCCATTCCAATCCAACCAATCGTCCATTCCAGGTACATTCAATACTATGACAGACTGCCTACCTTGACTCCTTCAAATATCTTTTTACGGCGTAGTTGCTCAAAATTTGTGAAAGTTGTCACGATATCTAACCATGGCAGTAGCGGCGTCGTCCCCGAAGCATCAACCTGGGGTTGAACACGACCGAAAGGCTGGATGTGGTAGCCTCTGTGTTCGCTTTGCGTTTATCTCACGTGGATATTGTCTGTACCCAGCTCCGAATTGGTCGATCGTTGGTTTTGGAAACACGAGATGAATATTCCTTTTACTACTCAAGAGTTCACGGGCCTCATGATATCAATATTCAAACAAATCGCATCTTCGTTATTTGTTCTTTCCAGCCAAGCTAGCACTCAAATGATCGGCTTGTACTTGTGAGTCAAACCAAACCAGCGAGCGCAATCAACAGGCTTTGGGATTGATTTCTGTAGGTATAGCAGGAGCTGATGTTTGCTCCATGCTCTGCGTACAGCAATTGGCTCTGTTTGAGGCTTCAAACTGGTCCACTGTCAAAATGGATTTCTGATGCTTTTATGCATACCTAATGCTATTGGAAGAAAATAGTAAGTCAAATACTAAGCAACCTTGATTTCGATACTTACCATATGTTAGGTAGCGGAACGCTGATAGGTACGTTCAGGCACCGTCAGAGACTGACATACTTCGCAGCATCAACACTTCAGTCGGGACTAGCACATATAGGTCGGTAAATAGTATGCTATAAAAGATGGTCAGGTTTCCCTCTCACATAACTGAGCAGCTTCACCCATACACTCCTGTGGGTAGCCTTTTCACTCCCCGAAGCTCAAACCTCTGCGGTCCACTGCAAACTCATTCCAATTATGACTCTCCATCAAAGAGGACAACATGTCGTTCCCGATAGAGTGGTCGAGTCTTCAGCTAACCAGGCTGCTACTCCAGTCCACAACCTAGATTCAGACGCAACTCCTCCCTCATTCCCTAAGAAATCGTCGGGCACATCCACCTCCATAAGAAATGAGGTTGCCGTTCATTTCGAGCAGACATTTCGACATCTCATGAAACGGCAAGTGTCTCGTGGTGATTTGCATAAATCATCTAATTCGGCAGTATATTATCTCCCCGTCAGCCGTCAAGATGAAGGGATCAAGGACCGCCAACTTGGTGTCATATTTAAAGAATTGCGTGTCGTTGGTGCATGTTCCCGTACTTCGCTCCAGCCCACTGTGGGCTCACCTTTCTATCCTTCAACGTTTATGCGCAAGATAAGGGAAATTCGACATCCCTCCATCAGAGACATCTTATCCGGATTCGAGGGCGTGGTCACTCCTGGCGAAATGCTTTGTAAGCCCACGCCCTTCTTTGGCCTCCAGTCTTGACCCTCCGTATAGTGGTTCTTGGCCGTCCCGGCTCCGGGTGTTCGACCTTTCTCAAGACACTCGCTAACCAATGTGGGGAGTATCATGCTATTGAGGGTCAAGTTTTCTATGATGCATTCACCCCAAAGGAGATCCATGACTCCTTTCGTGGCGATGTCACTTACTGCCCGGAAGATGATATCCACTTCCCGACCCTGACTGTCAATCAAACGCTCTCTTTCGCTGTTAGCAATCGTACTCCCACAACATGTCTTCTCGGCCAAACGCGCAAAGATCATGTTGAGGATACTACCACGATGCTAATGAAAGTCCTTGGCCTCTACGGCTCGAAAATCACTTTGGTCGGTAATGCTCAGATTCAAGGTATTTCCGGTGGCGAGAGAAAGCGAGTTTCTATCGCAGAAATATTAGGCTCTGTAAGCCCGCTTGGTGCATGGGACAAGTGAGCGTTTTCATTTAAGGTGATATTTGTCTGACTTTCTTCTCATCCAGTTCCACTCGTGGACTAGACTCCTCGACTGCCCTTGATTTTGTTCGCACGTTGCGTTTCATCACAGATGTCAAACGCACAACGTCAATTCTATCTCTCTACCAGGCAGGCGAGCAAATATATGAATTGTTTGACAAGGTCTGTATTATTGCTGAAGGAAAGATGGCCTATTTCGGTTCGGCAAAGTCGGCCAAAAGTTATTTCATCGATATGGGTTTCGAACCACAAAACAGGCAGACCACCCCCGATTTTCTGGTTGCAGGTATGTCATTCCAGTTTACTTAGATTGCCCAATAACCATTTTTGTCAGTCACGGACGCAAACGGGAGGAAAATTCGCCCTGGATATGAGAACATTGTCCCGCGGACATCAGCGGAGCTTGCTAGCCGTTTCATGGCTTCCGACCTCGGACATCAGAATCGGAAAGCGATCGAACAGCGCCTGGAGCAATGTGTTGGCAATTACGAACACAAGCAAGCCTATCTTTCTAGCGTGACCACTGAAGGTGCCACCACAACTTCTGCATATATGACCTCTATTCCCCATCAAATCAAAACGGTCATGGAGCGCCGCCTGCAAGTTATTGTTGGTAATAAGCTCGAGCTCTTCGTTCAACTGGCGTAGGTGACATTCTTCCTTTTCCAACCCCCAGTAACATTGGGTGATAGCTCCCAGGTCTTCCAAGCGATATTTATGGGCACCGCCTTCCTGAACGTACCAAATGACACCTCTGCCTATTTCTCTCGTGGAAGTATCCTGTTCTTGTAAGTTCCTTCCCCTGTCATTATCCAAGTTGTGACTCGCGGCTCTGTTAGCTCCCTGTTCTTTGGTGCCATTACAGCCGTTGCAGAAGTCCCTGCGCTTTTTTCTCCAGCGTCCTATCGTGCTTCGTCACCAGAAAGCTGCGTTATATTACCCTTTTATCCAGAGCCTCGCGCATACTATCGTTGATATTCCGATCACTCTGGTCATTCAACTAGTTTTCGCTGTGATTGTTTACTTCCTAGTTGGGTTGCAACGTTCTGCCGCACAATTTTTGTAAGCTTCATGCTATTGTCTTGGCTGGCTGTAATGCTCACTCTGCTGCACAATAGCATATTTTACCTTTTCATCTTCTTGACATCGCAAACCATGAAGTCATTGTTCAGAGCTATTGCTGCAAGTTTCAAAACTCGTCTGAGTGCAATGGCTGTTTGTGGTATCTTCGTTCTTTTGATGTCGCTCTCTGGCGGGTACACGATTCCTTGGCCAACTGCTCCGAAGGGCTTACGGTGGATCATGTGGTTGAACGTGCGTCATCCCTTACAGGGCACATCTTTTGCTTAGTATCAACCTTGCTATTTTAGCCAGTGTGGTGGGGTTTTGGTTCACTTCTTGTCAACGAGTTCCACACGCTCCACGGATTTTGCTCCACTCTTGTCCCTCAGGGTCCTGGCTATGAGAACGTTTCACTTGCAAATCAGGTTTGTACAACAGTCGGATCGCAGCCCGGGGATCTTCTCGTTGATGGCAACATCTATGTTGGATTGACGTTTAACGTTTGGTATGGTCATCTCTGGAGGGTAGGCCGGTCACGTACTTTGTGAATAGCTCATGACACTACCTCAGAATTTTGGTGTCATTTGTGCTTTCTACCTTGGGCTCTTGGCAGTTCTTCTGGTTGCCACAGAATACAATACTTTGTCCGATTTCGACGGCGCCGTCGTTCTCTTCAAGCAAGGCTCTGATGCTATTGAAGGAAATGCCAAAGCACCTCATGAGGAAGAAGGAGATATAGAGTTTCGCTCTGGATGTCAGCCCAAGGCAGCTGATCCCTTGACTTTCGACAGTCCCGACGGGAACATCATGGTTCCGAATCACTTCACATGGCAGCACCTGCAGTATGAAGTCCCTATTAAGGGAGGTATGAAACGCCTTCTTGATGATGTCACAGGCTTTGTTGCCCCTGGGAAACTTACTGTTTTGATGGGTGGATCCGGTGTTGGAAAGGTATGACTTCTTATATACCACTCGCGTATGCCGTTTATCTGAGTGCTTGTAGACCACACTTTTAAACGTTCTTGCACAACGCATTTGTGCTGGTGTGGTGAGCGGTGGCCGGTTTGTTAACGGAGAGTCGCTCCCCATAGACTTCGAAGCTCAGATGCAAGTGTTTTTCTGATTTGTGCTGAGCTTGCCTGATTGTCATGCTTAGTGGTTACTGTCAACAACTCGATACTCACCTTCCCAATGCAACTGTTCGTGAAGCGCTCCTTTTATCTGCTAATCTTCGTCAGCCACAATCAGTCCCTCACGCTGAAAAGGAGGCATAGTGCGTGTGGTTTATGCCTATAATCTATTTCCACTTACATTTCCAGTTCAGCGTCGGCAAGTGCCTTCAAATGTGTGGCCTTGAGGCGTACGCCGATGCTATTGTTGGCTCTCTTGGGGTTGAGCATCGGAAACGCACTACTATTGCAGTGGAACTCGCTGCTAAGGTAGGACGCAAACCCCTCAGGGTGAAGTTATACTCAAGCACAATAGCCCAAACTTCTACTCTTCTTGGATGAGCCCACGTCTGGTCTTGACTCACAATCTGCCTGGGCTATCGTGCAGTTCCTTCGTGAACTCGCTGATCATGGCCAGGCCATTCTCTGCACGTGAATACCATTTCTGCCTGTAGGTTTCCCGCTGCTCACGAACTATATATACCAGGATCCATCAACCCTCAGCGGAGCTCTTCCAGGTCTTCGACAGATTGTTGCTCCTTCACAAGGGTGGACGAACTGTCTACTTTGGCGACATTGGCGAGAACTCGTCAGCCATGCTGAACTACTTTGAGTCTAACGGTGCTCCACGTTGTGGCCCCGATGCCAATCCGTAAGTAAGATGCAGTCATACCAGGTCCGGCGCTTATCAGTACGTTCAAGGGCGGAATATATGCTCGACGTGATAGGTGCTGGAGCAACTGTCTCCACCACTGACTGGTGCGATGTCTGGAAACGCTCATCAGAAGCGACACAGCTCCAAGTTCAAATCGAAAGGATACATGAACACGGCCATACTCGCCCACGACAGCTTAGTGTCCAGAAATCTGTCTTCGCCACCTCATGGTCGCACCAGTTCGTTGCCCTCACCCAACGGAACTTCCGAGCATACTGGCGCACTCCTACCTACATCCGCTCCAAGTTTCTGCTTAACATTGCTGGTGGTCTTCTTATGGGCTTTACATTCTTCCATGCAAATGACTCTTTACAGGGCACCCAAAACAAGTTGTTCGTGAGTATACCCATCAGGATTCCTCATTCAATGTCATTTACACATTTTTAGTCGATTTTCCTTGGTCTTGTGCTCTGTGTTTCTCTCGGACATCAGCTCATGGCCGTCTACATTGACATCCGCATAGTGTACGAAATCCGTGAACGTCCCAGTAGAATGTATCACTGGACTGCTCTGGTCATGTCACAGCTTGTTGTTGAACTTCCTTGGAACATTACAAGTGCGGCGATGTTCTTTTTCTGCTGGTACTGGACCGTTGGATACCCCACAGAACGGGCAGGCTACACGTTCCTCATGATCTGTGTCGCCTTTCCGTTGTACTATACCACGCTTGAACATGCCATCGCGTCGATGGCGCCAACCGCTCCAATTGCATCTCTGTACCTCGTAACTATTTTTATATTCCTCCTGATTTTGTGAGATGCACGCTTCGAACTGCGCTACGTCATATTGATGATACATCAGTGATGGCGTAATCCAGCCATTCATCGAGCTTAACTGGTGGAAATGGATGTACAGGGTCTCTCCTTTCGCATATATCATCGAGGGTCTACTTGGTCAAGGTCCGTTGACTATTTGTAATCGTTATGCACCTGAGCGCTGAGCCCTCGCAGCTATTGGCGGGGAAGCTATTACCTGCTCTTACACAGAACTAGTCCGCGTCAACCCCCCGGAGGAATTAACGTGCGGCAAGTACATGGGCCCCTTCATGGAATTCGCGGGCGGATACCTCACGAACCCCGAAGCTGCAGAGGGCTGTCAGTACTGTCCATACAAGACTGCTGACCAGTACATGTACTCGAGGTTCAACATCAAAGACAGTGATCATTGGCGCAACCTGGGCATCGTCTTCGGATTCGTCGCGTTCAATGTGAGTCACTACCCGATGTTCTTTGAATCTCATGCTCAGATACCATCTATAGATTATTGCTGTTTTCTGGTTCACATATTTCATGCGCATTCGAACTGTCGGCGTGTTTACTTCTCTTAGACAGAAGCTAACTCGCGGCACATAGATTGGGATTCATGCATATATACGGCATACCTGGGGAATGTACTCAATATGTCTGTACTATCTTTCCAGTTCCAGATCCACAATGATGTACAATGCAACAAATTTCCCACAGTTACAGAAGGTCTTAGCTCGTAGTAATCAGCGGAGCACAGTTATTTAATTCGTATCAAACTTCTTGGTAGTATAGCCCAAAGAATGCGATCCCTCACACCTAGACAACAACGTTCTTCGCAAGAAATTCGGACCACTCCTTTTCTCCCCAAGAGCTAGAGATTTGATTGGCAATCAATCCGTCCCAAAGGACAGTGGGAGAAACATGTACGCCATTCTGCCTGGCGAACTTGACTGCACGATGACAGGTATGAGACCTCAAACCACCACAAAAACGTGAAGACGTACTAGTATATTTAAGATCATCTGTAACGCCAATTCCGCCATTCGGAGAAGGCTTCAACTTCAGAAGATCTTTAAACATCACCAACTGTTCCTCTGTGATTACTTGGGCAGCGATGCTGGCCAATTTCTCGCGAATTTGCAGGGGAGTCATGATGGATGAGGGACCATCGAAGAAGTCACCCTGTTGCTTGAAAAGCTGTGTATCAAGTTGATTTAGTGGCAGAAGTCACTTCGACTTTGGTAATTACAAGTGATGCTTACTGCAAGAGAGAATGTCCAGAATTGCTCTGGAGCGGCACGCACGACCTAGATCAAATCATCTTACAACCATCCTAAGGGTATCGATTTAAAGCGCTTACAGCAAGTCCAGCTTCATGAGTGTAGGTTGAAGTTGCATGCCAGGGTTGGACTTGGAGCCTCATGATGACTTTCACTTTGCCATAATATAAACCTCCCACGTCGACCAGAGGCTTCAAAACGTTGTCGATTGCAAACGATAACTTTGCGCTGTACGATTATCAGTATTAGTGATGTAGCTCTTCGTATCGGTGTATGTGGACATCAACCTGAATGGACAAACGTAGTCCACTGGACCCTCTCGTTGATTAGCTACAAGGCACTTGACCAATTTATTGGCTCACGGAAGATATCAAGGGTATGCGGGGCGTCGTGAGCGCCCGCAATAATAGTAGGTCGAAGGGATGGTTGAAGAGCCATGATACTCGAGTGCTGACACGTTGAAGGTCGATGTTCAAGATAGGGCCCAGTGAGGTCAGTTGATATTTAGGAGTTATCTACCACGTGATCGGAAACGTTCCAACTTTAACTTCTAGTTCAACGTCAAGAGAGAAGCCTCAAATTTGCTACTCGAGGTATCCCAATTGTTGCATCTTTCACTTTGACCGCAGAAAATAAACAAGCCTAGCATCAAACCAGAGATAGTACCAAGATCTGCGTACAGTCACGTTGGCCAGTCCTTCGTACATTATCAACCCCAAAACATGGCGATGACCTTCTCGACCTTCATTATGACCCTCGCCGAGACAATACAGTCAGAGAATGGACCTAACTTGGCCTATCTTTTGCGCCCAACCAGTCCTCATGGGAAGGATCTTGTCAAGGAGTTTCGTAATCCTACAGTGCGTCTTTGATTCTTTCGGAACACTGTCGACGTTCAGAGCGGATTTCCAGCGCGAAACACTGATGTCGCGTTATGGTGGATGTATTGAGAGCCCATGGGACGACATCGCTGTCAGATATGTTATGGTCACGACACACATCGCCCGCAAACGCGCCGGGGAGGCATTCAATGAGCAGTCGCAGCTTGTCTCGTGCGTATCTGTGTACTTCTAGACGTCTCTTTAGCTTACTCGTCTACAGCCAGTTCTTCCGTTACTTCATCAACAATACTGGATGGACACTTCCTGCGCTGTTCTCAATGTTGAGAGACCTACGAGATCTTGCCTTTGATGTGAGACATCCCGTTTCTACTTCTTGAACTCTCATTGAATGCTGTAGGCCGACAATTACGCAAAATACAATAATCAGAAAAGCGAATGTATGGAGAGCGCTGCTGGCGTTGTTGTCAAGGCGTTCAGCAACTGCATGACAGACAGGTACTGTACCTGTTAAGCTGTCCCCGTATTTTTGACAGGCGCCCAATACCTTCGCTAGAACTTCACCACCGAACGAATCTCGCAAATGGGGAGTTTACTACGTTGTCGGGCTTGTATTAAAATGCTACTTCCGGGTCTGTCCTCCTTGTTCATTTGGCGCTTGCATTGCCCACTGAAAATTCACAGGTCAAACGAATATCGTTGTCGAAAAATATTCTCAGAGCGCTCAACGCTAATCCCGATATACCACCTCTCTCAGAGTACCCACGCTCACATCAAGTACGTTCACATAATAAGGCTTATCCCTGAGGACCACTCACGTCATGATTTGTAAGGTCACCTACCGCTACTACCTGGGCATGCTAAGTTTTCTAAATGAAGATTATAATAAAGTACGGGCCTAATCATGTTGCGACATCACCCGGACTCACCGGTAGCAGTCCGAACAGGAACTAACACTAGCTTTTTACCAATGCTATATCCCGGCACATAGTAATCAGGAGTAAGCAATATTAATCATCGGCTGATGCTTGCAAATTGACGCCCGGGTAATAGACGAATACTGACGTATCTGCTCCCACTCCGTGTTCTCCGTGGGCACCTCCCAACCAGAGACCTGATGGACAGGTTCCCCGTACTTGACGAGTTGTTCACGCCCTTCATTGCTGCTATACGTGCTGGAGATATATCCGCGTACGATATAGCATTGGACAAGTGGGAACGGCGCCTGCTCGAGCTCAACCTGTGGTTGACGCTGGAACGAGCCAGAGAACTATGCATCAGGGGCCTGTTTAGACGCGTGTACGTAGACCACCGGCCGGTGAGCGATGACACGAAATATGCACTAACTACCTTGATTAAGCTGGGTGGCAACCGATCAAAGCACACGGATACCCGTCTCTATGTTTCACTGCTCGTTGCGATTAAAGGGGATCGAGGTTTCGATGGAGGAAGCTGAATGCTATGTTGCAAATATGATTTACCAGGGATATATGAGAGGTTATATCTCGCATGAGAAGAAGATGGTCGTGTTAGCTAGTGCCAATGCCTTTCCCAGAGTAGCGGATCGTTTGGCACCATTATCCTAGATAATATACAGGAGCACAGCTATATCTTGTACGCGTGATGTTCCTATGGCTGTTCATCAGAATATGTCAGGCTGGAGAAGGCAACTCGGGAGCTGTGGGAGGGGGAACAACATGGTACAGCACTGCAGCCTATGCACGACATAAATGGTGGCTTCTAGCAGTGGATCGCCAGTGATACACAGCAGAAGTATGTTGATTTAGATTTCGATTAGTACAATACCGGACGAATTCGGTAGCGACAATGCGGTGCAATCGAATCACATGACCCCCTTTCGCTTGGTCAACCGGCGTGGCAACCTTCCAGGCTTCCACTGTCCATTTTACATCGACCATAAACATGCCATTAGAGGCCACAAGCCAACTAAGTGGCAGGTACCCTTCACTACAAAAGAATTCTCCATTCGTCTACATCCAAACTGCTATATAAGAGGCAAAATTCTCCTGATTTTATTAGCTTCTATCACCTCCATTGGGCCACTCCACTAAATTTAATCTTCTAACGCTCGTCCCATAAATCCCTCCTCGCTTCCATACACACCCAAAGATAAACTATTATCATGGGAAACGGACCATCTAAGTCACGATCGCAGTGTAGCAGGGGACAGTCTGGGGACTTCAATATTGATCATGTACAGAACAGCAAATCATCCCTTGCTGGGCACACTGCAGCAGCTGGCAGCTACCAATCAGCCCCGCCACCGTATACTACCTCTGCCACCTCAGAAACGCCCTGGTCTTCTGAAAATGACGCTCAAGGTATTCGGTTCCCTCCAAAGTCTTCGTCACATCAATTTTAATTTGCAATCTCACACATAGCTTCTCGAGCAGCAGCCCGAGTGGCGTATCTCCGCCAACCTCTGCGTCAGGAATCATTGGAAGACGCGCTTGAGACACTGCGTCAATATGACACAATTATCCTCATGGACGATTCCTCGTCCATGGCTGGTTCGTTATGGAAGGAGGTGCGATACTCGTTATGTTAGTCGTTGATAGTCCTGAAATCGTCATGTGCAGGCAAAACAGGCTCTCGCCACACTTGCTGATGTCGCGAGCCAATATGATGCCGATGGCATCGATATCCACTTTTTGAACCATTACGGAAGCATAACAGGAGTTACAGTAGGTAGCTTATTTTTCACACCACAAATTAGTATTGATATCGTTTTGCAGGACTCCAAAGCTGTCCATGAACAATTCGCCAACCTCCAGCCTCGCGGCCCTACCCCTATTGGACATCGCCTCGATATAATCCTCGGCGATTATTTCCGTGACCTGGATGCTGCCAAAAGACAGGAGGATGCTGGTGACTATTTTGCGCGCAAGCAAATTAAGCCCGTGAATGTGATCATTATCACTGATGGGGCTCCAAGTAAGTCCACACAATAGCTAATAGCTGACTTCGCTGACCTGTTTGAGTAGCGGATGATCCCGAGAGTGTAATAGTCTCTTTTGCTAAGCGACTCGACGCCGATAAGTGGCCACTTGCACAAGTGAATACACATTGCTTCTTTGTTGGACTAGTTACTGACTAAACCTTTGTATAGGTTGGAATACAGTTCGTTCAGATAGGGAGTTCAAGACGCGCAACCCAGTTTCTCGTAGAATTGGATGATAACTTGAAGCAGACACATCACATACGAGTATGTCACAGGCTCACATATCAAAGTATTCTTTACTGAAAACCCATCAGGACATCGTGGATACAACACCCTATATCGGTCAACTGAATGCTGAAATGCTCATCAAAATTCTCCTAGGTGGCATCAATCGCCGCGTGGATACCAAGGGTGGTGCTGCGGTCATGTATTAGGAAATTTGGAATTGCAACGTGGCGAGACACTTTATCATCACGAAATTCCCCAGTTCTACCTGCCAACAATGCTACCAGCGCCAAGAGACGCACACACTAGAACAAATATTCGGAGATGTTACACCACCCGCACACGACGACGAAGATTGAACGACACCCATACGCTGTATCCTATCGCCTTTGGCCGACCTTAACTCCTGTCTGGACCAATGCGCGGTCAACACATGACTCACGACATATACTTGCTTATTTTGTCTACCGTAGGGCACGGCACCAACGGCTGTAGAAAATATAGTATTATTCGTGTACACTATGAGCCTCATGACGAGTATTGAATATCGAATTACGAATCCCAATCTTCCAATGCAAATGCAAGAACCCCGAAAGCAGGGGCAGCTTTAGACGTACTTCCTGCCCAGGTCTCGCTCCCCCTGCGAACAAAACGCACAACGCCATCCAGGTCCGAGGACAGCTTATCTAGATGATCAGGGAGATCACCCTCGTAGCTCATCACCGAGGCAGCCAGAGAGAACGAAGGCTCAGGTGCATCGCCCACCATCTCCTCGTCGTCATCGTCACTTTCATCATCTGAGATGATCTCAGGGGTGGAGAAACCAATGATGTCTCGACGAAGCCGTTTTTGGCGACGACTTCGGTGACGTTTTATAACGATAGAGAGCCGTGAGATATCATGGGTATTGTCACCTGAGAACGAGACGAAAATATTACTGAAATGCAGACACATGTCGAGTGCTGATAAAACAGCACGATGCAGGGCAGAAGTCTTGGATAGTCGTCAGCGCGACGAACAAGACGAGAACAAAAATGGACGCACTTCGGGGTGAAGCAGACAACCGCGCTGGATTGTATCCAAGCTTCAAGTGCGCATGTGAGCAGGGTTATTATAGCGCAGGTGCAAGCAACCTCACTGGTCGTTATGGATCTTGATCATCTCATCAAGGGACTCTGCCTTACTGAAGTTCTCGTGGAACATCGCTAACTGAGAGTACAGGACCTTGATAGATGGTCAGAGCCACATTGTTTCGATAGCCAAGAAGCTTACATGAGTCGTCAAGAAGTTCAACAGCGTGCTAACAAACAGTAGTTAGCTAATATCCGTCGCAACACAAAATGGACACACTTGATGAACCACGATAGCTTCCCCCTCATGGCATAAAATACCTTCAACTCGTGCTTCATATGTCGTTCATTCCCAATTTCGCCCCGTACAAGGATGCGCTCCAAAACATTTTTCGCTCGCCGTATTTGCAGAAGAAACGCGAAGATCGACCCATAGATCGAAAATACACGCGGCGTGAAGATATACGCCAATGGAAAAGGCACTGCATATTCGACGAGTAGACCATCAAGAGCTTCCACTGTCTGTGCGATGGCGGTGGTTTTGCTTCCCCGATAGGAGAGGCGAACAAGGGAAGTCTCGATGTACTTTGTGGCGTTATTGGCATCTACAACGTCCCTAAATGCGCTGTTCAAGAAGTGGAAGTCTTGCCAGTGTTGCTGGCTGTCCATCTGATGATCTGCATTAGCACCTGCATACTGGGATAGATAGAATGCTTGCCTTTGCAAAAAGGACATCGGCGAAATGGCCGATGACGTCTCCCCTGGTCATCAGATATAGCCCTTCGATGGCCGTGAAGTGGCGTGAAAGATCGCAGTCCTCGGTTAGTACTTGGGTAAGCTGAGATCCCGACGATGTGTAATAGGGCGCGATCTTGTCGGAGATAAGGCGAGCGAGGTTCTCTGGATCTGAAGCATCCCTTTCGTGCTGTCCTATTAGTGTTGCGAGTGATGACCAATGGACATCGTTATCTGCATGATTCAGCAAGGGAATCCCCAAGACCCGCAGTAGACCGACTGCTTTTCCGGTTTCGAGTATACGATCAGCTATACGTTCCAGAAATACCGGAACGGAAATTGCCTTCGCATCTCCTGTGCGCGCTTCAAAGTCACTTAAAGTTTTAAGAACATATCCTTCCGCCCAGAAATCAGGGTCCATAAGTGGAAGTTCGTTATCCTCGACGAAGAACTCTTCATCTAGGGTCTGATTATCAGAAGGTTCCCACGTGTCCCGTACTGGCATCCCATCGCTGACCCAGCGGCCCACCATCGCCCAAACAGGCTGTGCGGACCTAACGAACACCTCAGTGAGAGCCTCAGCCGTGATTTTGTCTCCTAGCGAGGATTGCTCCTCCGCAGAACGCAGACATGCGTCTAGTAGATGGGCAGTAACAGCCGCTGGCGGCACGCGACTAGACAGGGATGCCAATAACCAGACCTCTTCGTCGGACGTATTATCCGATTGCATGACATAGCCCATTATCTCTCGCAGAATGGCCAAAAGAAGGTCGAAGGTAACGGAAAAGTGATCTCTGACGTCTTTTTCGAGACCCAGTAGACTGACGACCAGTTGGTTTCCAAGGCCAGCGTGAGCGTAACATATCCGTTCTTCTTTGTCGGCGCACCAGCGGTCGAACTTTTGTAGCTGAGAATCGATCGCATCTGCGAAAGCTTCGATGGTCTGCGAACGCGTGTTGTGAGATAGAAGATGCGTCGAGCTCAGAGGTGGGTCTGAGGTTGAAAATACATTGGAAACAACTGCGGAGGTAAATTTTCTGATGTGAGACATGGTGCTAGCAAGTTGCGCAAACGACGAGAGGATGGAAGTTTGGGATGCTAATGTCAAATGAACGAGACGTGGAGCACTTGGTGATGGCCGCTGTATAAGATCAGAAGGGGAGTGTAAATCTGTACACTGCAGGTACCTACCATGAGCGACGGGGATCTCGAGTTGCTGTTGATCATGAGGTTTTTGCGTCCTTGGAGACACATGAGCACCTCACGAACAGCATCATGCTCGTTGATGTATTTCTATAGAAGCGGTGAGTTATTATCACTTTTTCTAACGTCGCAAGATCTGACCTCGCGTTCAGGCCCATCAATCAAAAGAGTTGTTCTTTCACCAAGAGCTCGGCTCAACGAAGGGCCTACAATGTCATCAGCGATGAAAACCCCAGAATACATGCAAACTACCAAGTGTTGATGCATCGCCCAGATTAAATGGCTGAGATAAATCGGCATCTGTTCGCCATTCTTCTCTCCAGTACTGTCGAGCTTGCAGCTCCTCCACGACCCTACGATGTTGGTATGAAAGGCTCAAAGTTGGCTGCTCATAGGATGAGACTCGTTCCGCAGGACCAGGAGATGAGGGACCATCTTCAGTGTAGGGAAATGAATCACTATCATCCAAATCGTCCGAGTCATCGTCCCAGGGTGAAAGTGAAGGAGTGCTACCATCGCTCATTTTTTCCCAACCTTCTACCGTGCTTCCTGATGGCAAACCATAAGCACCCTCCCAGTGTTGTCCCTCGAAGGGCTCCTCGGCCAGGATGTCCTTCCAGGTGATGGAAGGTGGTGGTTCGGGTGGATTTTTAACCGCATCAACATATGTATCTGCGTAATTGAGAGTAGATGCTGTTGGTGCAACAGACAGAAGTGCCTATCAAGCTGTTGGTTTCTCGACCGCATATGATGAATATGATCTCACAAGCAGTTGCAGGTGGTCTGGAAGATGCGCGAGCTGTGAAGGAACCTTTCAGTATTGTACTTACACACGATAACTCGGGACTCCACTTTGATGTCACTGTCAATATTGGTGAGTTCCTTCGCACTATCTTTCACTTTCCGGTATGAGATCTCCAAAGCTTCCGCAAGGGTATCATTGGACTGTATACGGTATTTTTCGAGGAAACTGAAGGAACATGCATTGGCTGAATAACACTTTCATATATAAGACGACTATATGTACCCGTGAAAGCGTTTGTCCATGGTAGCCATATCAGAGCTCGGACCCCCCTTCGTTGCCGTAGCATGCTCTAGGTTCCTAGAAACGAAATCCAAGGCCATACGAAAGTCCTCTTCATCATTTTCTAAAGTGAGTCCAGTGAGTTGTGTGATTAGTTTCTGGCACAAAGGCGCAAGTCGCGTGGACTGCCTGGTGGCTGGTCGCGAAATACGGGAATTTGGTCGAGAAATGCGTGATTGAGGTCGCAAGGACGCGCTTGAAACTGGTCTTGCGTATGACGCGCTGGAAGGTGGACGCTGCGATAAGCTGGAAGATGGCCGTTGATTCAGCGCGCGAGAGTGAGGACGGGCTGATAGCGTCGAGGATGGTGTGCTCATCGTAGCATTCGCTGATGCCCACAACGAACAACCGCGATGATTGGTGTCTTGTTTGTGCAAAATTTTAAATCCCGCGATACTGTTGGCTCCTGTCATAAAAAGTCCCGCACAGAGTTGGTTTCTGTTAAATAATGTCGGCTTTGACCAACAACGCACATCGACTTCTTTTGCTAGGAATAAAGGCGACTCGGAAACCCTCCTTCGCACAGCCTTTTCTGTCTTCGAGAACGTACGCTGCGTCTACGCGAACATGGACACCAAAGACGTCAACTCCTTCCTCCAGTCCGCCCAAGGTAGTGAAGGCAACTGCTAGTACGAGCGTAGCAGGTACTGGCAACCCAGGCACAACAGAGAACCTACCAGAAGAGATAGTTATTTCTGAAGCCGTGAATGGAAGTATTCCACCTGAGACCGTGCCTTCTTCTGCATCTCTGTCTTCACCTTTCCCTGGCGATTTTCCAGCAGCAAGCGACATTGGGTCCACTGATTGGTCAACCAGTTACCATGGACTCTCTGTGCAAGCCTTCTCAAAGGATATCGCTAATATTCTGTTAGCTCCTGTGGATGACATGGATATAGAGATGAAGCCAGGTACTTTTCGAGTACATGGTTTGCGGATTATGTTCCTAAGCATCATTCATAGATGGCTTGATCTACCTTCCAGAAATCAAATATCGACGCGTCCTCAACAAGGCATTTGGACCAGGCGGATGGGGACTCGCCCCTCGCAGTGAGACAAACGTCGGGCCCAAGGTTGTCAGCAGGGAGTATGCGCTTGTCTGCCAGGGCCGGTGTGTTTATCCTTGTCTTTCATAACAATTTATGAATATGCTTTCCGGCAGCTTGGTTGCAGTTGCCCGCGGTGAACAAGAATATTTCGATCCATCCAATATTCCTACGGCAACGGAGGGATGTAAGAGTAATGCCCTCATGCGATGCTGCAAAGATCTTGGAATAGCGAGCGAGCTTTGGTGAGTGTCATCGCGGATGATACGCCTCGGCTATTCAATCTTGATCGTAATACAGGGATCCGCGCTTTATTCGCGAGTTCAAAGCTAAGTATTGCGTTGAAGTATTTGCAGAGCACGTCCCAACGAAAAAGAAGTATGTAAATTCTCAACAATCCTTCTCTGGCATGCTGATGGAACGTCTCTAGGAAGAAATTGTGGAGACGTAAGGACCAGCCGAAATTTGATTACCCCTGGAAAGAGTAGACCTATACAACATATAATCACGTCTTTAATATTCGGGATGTGGCTTGTTCAGCACTGGTATGTATCCCTTCAATTGGACACCGAATTAGAGCCTTTGGCATGCAATCTGAGATAAGTTGCTTCGCTAATCCTCCTCGTTACCATTGATCCCCGCCTAAGCGGTCACCGCAAGCCTCGATATGACCCCTCAGGCTGAAGTGGTGCGTCCAGATTGTGTCGAACTTAGTCGCTCGACTATCATTGTAGTGACATGCACACATACCCTGTGGCTGATAGTCTCCACTGGCAACTGGAAAAACGGCCGCACTTGCCTTGTGTGGTAACAATGGTAATATTCTTCTCGTCTTCATGCACCATAACCACATGATCATCTCCTTCATTACTCGACATCCGGGGTGAATTTCAAGGTGACATTCAGAAGAGATTAGCGAGTAGAGCCGATGAGAACTTGACACGAAGTATTGTCAGCGAGAAGTCCCAGACTGAAAAGTCGGGTTGCAACTCCCTGAGCCTGTCACAGTCAAAGACATAATATGAATCAGGGCTTCGAGAGCCTACTTGCTATTGTTGAAGACATGTGGTCATTGAAAATTTGGTCATTCACTTAAATTTAAGTCGTTCCAGCATAGCCACTGCAGCATGCGGTCCAGCCCGCCGCCAACTTCCTTCTTAACTTGTTAGTTCGCTCATGAATATTGAATCATGAACAAGTTGTTTCCCCCTCTTCCTTCTCCTCGTCTACGCTCGGCAGTTGTCTGTCGCAGCTATTTGAAAAGATATATAACAACATCACCTGCATTTGACTCCGACGAATCGCGGGAAGTCGAGGATTTTGGGACGTACAATGTCATCTTACCTGAGGAGCCGTTCGTGTGGGGCGTCTCCCATATAACCCGGCGTCCGGTTCCAAGTCATATTGTTCGACCAAAATACGCGGTGCAGCTCGACCCCCCAATGTCATCGGAGATAGACCATACGCAGCAATACGAAGGAGACGGAAGAATAATTCTGGGTAGCACAGACGAGAAGCGCCTGCGAGCAGCTGCGACGCTTGCTAAGAATGTGCGCCAATATGCTGGCTCGCTTGTGCAGGTGAGATTCATCAATGCTCACTATGCGGATGCAAGATAATTTGTCGGTAGCCAGGTGTGACCACCAATTCGATAGATGCTGCAGTACACAACTTTATAATTGCGCATGAAGCATATCCTTCACCACTGCTATACAAGGGCTTTCCACGTTCGTGTTGCACCAGTGTCAACAATGTTGTTTCGCATGGCATACCAGACGAGTGAGTGCTTTTGTACGAGCTGTCTTTCAAGACTCAACAAGGTGACAGTCGACCTCTCGAGGATGGGGATATAATTAACATTGATGTGACAGTCTATTTCAACGGGTTTCATGGCGATACATCTTCTACTTTCCTCGTCGGAGATGTTGTAAGAAACATCCCTCAGAACAATTACATTCTTCGTGATTTACTTGCATGATAGGACGAACCTGGCCGAGACCTTGTGCAAATGACAAATGCTGCACTCGAGGCTGGTATTGACGCTTGCGGACCTGGTAGACCGTTCAATGGCATTGGAAGGGCTATACATGAAATCGTCCGAAATACCTGTCATTCTGTCTGTCCTGCCTTCGCTGGGCACGGCATAGGGACCGTTTTCCACCGACCCCCTTGGATATACCACACTCGCAAGTCCATGTTTTGTTCCCGTGTTGATGGTATCATTGACGTTTGCTTTGCAGAAAATGAAGAACCTGGCGTAATGCTTCCTGGGCATTGCTTTACCATCGAGGCAATCAACTCAGTGCATGTCGTGACCTATTGCTAACGTCCATTTCTTTCAGCCTTCTCTCGTTCAAGGTTCTAATCCTAGTGTCTGGATTTTTCCGGACGGCTGGACTGCATCGACGGAGGTACGACTGACCTGCTATAAGCCCGAATATTTTCCTAACGGTTGTCATGAGCAGAATTGTGCACGAAGCGCTCAAGCAGAACATATGATTCTCATCACTGAGACTGGTGTAGATGTTTTAACGCAGTGATTGTTTTATTCACCTCTAGGACAAATTGGCAATGTGAAACATATAATGTTACTTTTAATACATCTGCATAGTGCCTAACCCATCTACGACGGCGTAGTCATTACCCACTCACTCATAAATCTAAGCAGCACCTGGGTGAGATCCCCCTTGACATTTCTGTTGTCATCGACGCTCTTTTGCAGAATAGGCTTCGCTTGCTTCAATAACTTCTCCAAATCCGTCGCCATCTCTCCCGGCATTCCCCTCCTAATTCTGTCTGTGAGCGCCCTAGATGGTCTTTTTGAACTTTCTCGCATATCCATGGTTTGTGGAATGTGATCCTCCGAGTCCATTTCAGCAGTGTCAAATTCTGGCTTCGAGAGCCACATCGCAAGCTGCGTTGCCGCATACACGAGCAATGCCTCCACTGTCTTCCGGGCTGTCAGCATGCCTTCCTGCACATCAAGCGGCGTATCTTTGAGGGACGCAGGGGGGGCGATGGCCTGACCTGCTGGGCGATCGACGAGGTGTCGTAGGACATCAAGGGTGCAGTTCGCGAGTTCAAGCAAGGTTCCCAAAGATGCTGGTTCCCCCGGCACCACCTTGGAATGCTGCAGGAAAACGGTAAATAAATAAAGTTCTGCTTCAGAACGTGAAGCTACGCACAGGAACTATCACTGCTTCTTGAACGGGCCATTCTTCTTGTTCACCAAGAAGAACGTCATACGCTCGGCTGATGCTAATCAGCGTAGACACCACAGAGCTTGACAGCCTAAATAACCGATGAACGAGACGCGCAGTCAACGGATGTTTCTGCAGGTCGGCCATGTCCACTGATAGCAGGGAGGATGCGGCGGTAGGCTCCTTTTCCAGCAATGCACGCTCTTCTGCAGTCACCGGTTCCAAGAGACTAGCGATGTGATTAGGGTGCGTCAATGCGTAGTTGAGTTGCTGAAGGAGCATGAGCGCGTGGGTTGTGAACACACGTAGGACCTTGACGACTGCTGGGTTTGGGGAGGCAGTAGGAGGAGCACTCTCCGCAAGCGCATAAAAGAGGCCAACGACCTGTTCCATCTCCTCCAATAATGGTAGTGTAATCGGATCACCGACACTCCAGCTCAGCGCCCGGATAATCTGCTTGCCATACAGTTGCACGAATCCGCATGCCTCTGCGTCGAAGAAGTGGTGTTGCCGCTTGAGAGCGGAGACGATAGCAGAAACTATGGCTATCATCGAGCAGTATGTCTTGTGTGCTGGGCTCCTCTCTCCAGGAAGCTCAGGCAACACAACATCGATCTGCCCTGAGCTTGCCGCAAGGCTAATTCCGTTGTTACTGTATGCCGAAATGATGCCTTCACTGGCGAATCTTTCAGCCCCGGATGATATGCTTACTACAGCCATGTGGAATAGGAGGATGTGGGGCGCGTACAAAGGTTGCCTGCGTGTGCGAAGCAGGGGCAGATCTGTGAGGCCGATCACATCTGTCCTAGTGAGTAATTCCAAGCTTGATTTGATGACATCCGTCTCTTGGCATCGGGTCAACCATGTTACAGACGAGACGTTGATATCAGGACGCGTGCATTGCTCGAAGACTGCAACCAGTAGCTCCATATCCCGATCAAGATCAAGATCAAGCCGTGTACGGGCAGAGTCAAAGGTAAGGCGGAGAGCATCAATTACCAGTGGAAGCGTTGCGTCCACCAAGCCAGAAACGGCAATGCGCCTGCTAGCGGTGAGGACCTTAGGTCGTCTGGCAAGATTCCGGCACTGGCGAACACAGAAGTAGATGACCTGGAGCAGGATTTGATGGAAAGGCACGGATAATTGTCCCAGGAATGACTGAGAAGGAGGTTGTGCCTCATTCAACAGGACTTTGTGTATGTTATCCACGAGGTTCATGAAAGACGTGATGTGCTTGTCGGTATCCGAATCAGAGAACCAGACCACTTCAAGAATTGATAGCAACAAGTTGAGTCGCGTGCCATGGAGTTTTGCCATCATGTCTCCCGACCTTTTCTCCAAAGCTAGGTCTCCGGATATCGTGGCCGAGAGTGATAGGAGGTTTGAACGGATCTCTGGCACTGGCCGCACAAATGGCAACACTTGATGCAAAAGGAACTGCCACGACTCCGTCAAAGCCGTCTGAGCGTAGGTGAGGGAGAGATTGAGATTTAAGGACGCGATTCTCTTTTCTACTTCTTCCACTGCATTTGCCCTATCATCACCCGACACGCACTGTTGCATACGACTGCGAAGAAGTGCTATGGAGAACATGAAGTCATCACCAAACTGTCGCTCGTCGCTGAGATCCTGCGACTGTAGGTGAGTAAGGGAGAGGCCCGGGAAGTCCTGCTGAAGCTGCGTGGCGAGTTTATCAGAAAGACTGGGGTCATACGATGTGCTCTTGGCTTCCAATATCAATTCGTTGAGTTGATCTTCGGATTTGAATGATGGAGCTAGCTTGCTGTAACTCAAGGGCTTCTTCGCGGGCTCACAGGACCTAGGCTGTGGCTGAAGGAAGATGTCCTGTCCAATGACACGCACAGCATATGACTTCACCATGTTGCGATACGACTGAACAGATACTGCTTCGTGGAGACTTGATCGGCGCTCGTCGTCCAATATGATGAATGTCTCTGTCTCGTAGTCAGGATCGGGACCGAGCTCCTCTTTAACAACAGCAACCACATTGGTCCAAAACTCGTCATTGCCACGAGTAGTATCAATGAGATTTTTGTGTTCAAGCCCGTGTTGCCACACGACATAAATGAAGCGAAACACCGATGCTAAGAGTTGGGGATTGGCCTCCCATAAGTCTTTCCACCGACTGAGCGTTTCGTTAGCAACTTCGAGGGCGCTCATGTGCTTCTTCGAATCATCCTCCCCTTGCGATTTAGCGTTCTCCTTGCTCTTGATTTTGTTGTTCGGAACCCGGAATTGTCCTGTAACGAAGAGGTTGGCTAATGCTGGTTCCTTATCAACGGCAAGGGCTATGAAGTTCCAAACGGCATTGCGCAGTGCGAGATCCTCGTACGGGTGCTGTACAATTCGCACGAACGATGCGACAGTGGCCTCTGGATTCGAGAGATGACCGATGATTGTCGCAGGCGAGGGCTGAGTCACAGACAAGGATGCGCAGAGAGCATAAAGAACTCTGATCGACTCTAGCGGAACAGCGGTCCCAATATCTCGCCCTTTAACATAATTTGCCAGGACGTCGACGGGATCTATCCTGGATCTCGTAGAATCCGTGAACCCAGCGCCTCCCGCTACCCGCGCGCACAGAGCTTGCTCTAGAAGACACGGTTTCGAGGAATAGGGAATGGACTGTTTGTAGCTAAGGACTAGCCTAGTGAGACTGAGGTGTGACTCCAGCAGGTAGATCAGACGTCTGGCATCGCCATAGCGTCGTGAAGCGTAAAGGGTGCCGAGGATGTGGGGGGCAACCGCTATCGATGATACAAGTGGGTTGATAGTTGACGTCGTGGCCTTATGCAGAAGAGCGTCAGCGACAGCTTGGCTTAGGGCAGGGAAGGGACGATCGCCCAAAGCGGGAGGAGATTGCTTGAGAACATAGCCATAAAACGAAGACACTCGTCGTCCAATCTCAAACCTATCGCCAAGCTGGGCATACTTCCAACTCAAGTGCTCCACCCATATCTCCCCATGGACGAACACTGCTGCTCGGAGTAGAACTTCCTCTTTCACCTGTTTAAGGCGTTGATTGTCAAGTGGAATTGTGAGCACGGACGCAAACGCTTCATGGAGGAGTTGTTGGACGAGATTGAGCAATGCGAGAGTCATTGTATAGTGACCAGAGATCCGCTCCGCTGGTAGAGCGACTGCCGCAAAACCTGACGTACGACTAGGGCCAAACAGCACGCTGGTTGAACGGATATAGAGCCATACACGCAGAGAGTATTTTGGCAAGGATAACAGTGCTGATAGAACGCTCATCGCAGATGTGATTAGCTGGGTTCGCGAAAAACTTCGAGCTTGTGAGCGACTGAGGGCTTCCTCCAGAATCATTGTCGTGAGATGGACGAGGTCGGGCGGCTGATTGTCCGAAGAATTATTAGGGTCGCCACCGCTCTCGAGAGATTCCAATAGCTCTTCCGCCAGCTCTTCATTGTCTTGGATGACGCTGCGAATGAGGTCAAGAGCATCTGTCGCGAGTGCTTCATCACCCCCCTCATCAATCTCCATCCCGACGTCTTCAAGCCTGAGCGTCAAAGGAATAGATCCAGGGCCTGTACGGCCGAAGGCAACGTCCTGGTATAGGTCCACGGTGCCCGTGTACATCCTCCGCCGAGTTACGTACTCAGTGAGCACGTCCAAAACCACCTTCCATCCGCTGTGCTCATGTTGCCAACACACTGCAATATGATCCCCACCATCCCCACTCAACAGCCGACCCTTCGAGCGCGCAGGCATCACGGAGCCTCCAGGAAGGCGAATAGCACGTAGGTTTGTGTATGCGAAGGATGGACCGGCAGCCTGTGCTTTCTCATAGACAGCATTAGGACCGGTGCAAGATGCCAGGGGAATGACCAGCGAGAAAGTAGGCAACTTATCCACGTAGTAAAATACATGTCGACTACAAATCTCACGGTCACCATCATCACTTTCATCAGCGGGAGGTTGGGTGGACGATGCTGCAGTGGATAGTGGATCAGTATCAATGAATCCAGACGTAGTCATTGCTCGAAGAAGGCGGATGAGCGGCCGGAAGTGAATTGGGAAGCGTGTTCGTGCAACATCAAATATGGCGCGACGTGCAAGGCCCTGCCGCCAATCCGATTGCCAAAATTGTCGGCATATCCCTGCTATAGATTGACACTCGCTGCGCCCAAACAGCGCAATCCAAACTTCAACCAAAGAGTCGAAGTCGGGAATGAGTTCAACAGGGACCAATTCAACCATTGCAATGACAAAGCCTAAGGGAAAATGATCTTTAATGTGCTGTTTCACGCAGAAAAATGTTGTCACCTTTGAGTACAGAGCGGAATGCAATAGCATTTGGGTCGGTTACAGTCGACCCTGTCTTCCAAGCAACGGAGGTAACAAACAGTGGGGAGGTTGTAAGGAGAGTCAACAAGAGCTTGAAAAGGCCGGCTTCAGGACTGAAAGCTGCCCGTGCCATAAGTACATGCGATGGCTCCCTTTCCTTAGAGCGATTGTGGTGCGGATGCAGGGAGTCTAAAAACCCGCGATACGATTCTGGAATCTCTTTCAATTGACCAGCTTTTGAGGTCAACCGCGACAGAACGAAGGCCCATGCTAGGTGTGTGCACGCGTGCTGGCTGGACAAGTTGGATGTCACGATTTCATGAATCCGTCTGAGTGACTCTGGCGAAGAGGGATAGAACGTTTTGTCAGAAGGAGTTGCCGAAATCTCTATTCCTCCATCCTCTGCCACTCTCTCCAACTCAAGGACCTCTACAGTGACAAGTATCCATAACGCCGCGCAATCATGCTGCAGTTGATTGCCTTCATCATCTAACAAAAGGGTCGAGTTTTTCTGCGAGGAGCCAAGGTTCGTGTTGTAAGCAGCTTCAAATATTCGAACAACCAAAGGTCCATCGCAAGGAACATACCCCCAGACTGTCCAAAAGAGCACCTCTAGCGTCACGAGTTGCTCCTTCATGTTCTGCTTAGCCCAACGAGAGGCAATACGTGCATCGGCATGCAAAACCTCTGGGATGTCCATTTCAGTTTTGTGAAGGTATTCTGTTATGAGGTCGAGTGCGAATTGATGACTGTCTTGTAGGATTCTGGGAAGACACTTCGTGGCAACGGCATGGATTGAGTCGCCAGTGTTTTCGTGGGCACGGAACAGTGGAATGAGGGCGCGCAATACGAATAGGCGTTCGGAGTAGTAGAATGGCGTGATTGCTGCGATGAGCTCGTCCACAACGCCTTTATCGGTTGAGCCTCCGTTATTTGAGAGACCTTCATTATATAGGAATGATCGAAGGAGAACAAAAGCCTGAATTTCATCAATCCCGAACCGAGTACTAATTGCAAGTGTGAACTCCCTCTCGACTTCGTCGACTTGCAACACAACACCATCCGCGAGCGTGACTGAGCCAGCCTCGACTGCTTTTCGTGACGCCGGTGTGGGCGTTCCATAAGGTTTGGCGACATTTCGAAGTTGCAAGGAACGGGCAGATATGATGTCGCACAGTTGGTCTGGGGACGAGCCCTCGAGTCTGCCAGACAGGAAGGAATGTAGTTGTTGGTTCGTTCTGCACAGAACAATAGTCAGAGAAAAAAAGTGGCATGGTAAAAAAAAGGACAGAAACATACACATCTATAAGAGTCGACCGCGATGGTTCTCCGGGCATTGCGAAACCTTGCGAGTCAGGGTAACTTGAAGGCCGCGACCTGTCTGCACTTCAAGTTGGAACAAGAAGTTATTTGTTTTTGTTTGATCCAGAAGGCACAATTACAAATAACGCGAGCCAATTTCAACTTTGTACTAATGTTACTATGTACAACTGTATATGTACCTCAGGTTCAAATAAACCATAAGACACTTTGGTGCGCGACATACTGCATACCAGCAATTGTATTGAATGTCCCAGACCGTCAGACGTCTCATGAGCTATCGCGAGTGTTGGACTGAGGACGTGAGGCCAGTTCGTGTCACGGTGCTATACACGAACGAAAACCGAACGACAGTGTCCAAACCGGTATAGAGGATCCAGGGGTATTATATCGGTGCGCATTGAGCTAACTATCACTACGTCTGCTGCCGGTCGCGACATCCTGGCGGGGTCACCTGGGTTAGTGTTAGTCACTGAATAATATCGCAGAGGCCGTCCGGCTTATGACAAAACAATCGGCTTCATCCAGAAAGCTAAGGATGCGGGAGGGGAGGTTTTATCAGAACCACTGGTAAGGCGGATAGTAGTGTGACTCATCTGCAACTTTTCTCATAATCCTACAGGTGATGACTCCAAGGGCTACTTCATACAACCTACCATCATTCCAACCGAAGATCCTGAACCAATCACCATGAAAGAAGAAATCTTTGGTCCTGTCATCACTGTAATGGCTTTTTGTTCGGAAATGCAGCTAGATTGTACCAGCAACTTTTCAGATTTATGTATACGACAATGCGAATTATGAGAAGACTCTGGAACTCATCAATAACACCTCGGCTTATGCACTGACTGGCTCTATGTGAGTCAAAAGGTCTCTACGATATGCGTTGACTGACAACATCTTCTCCAGCTTCGCCGCAGATCGCAGAGCCCTTCTGACTGCCACAAACGAGCTACGCAATGCTGCTGGCAACGTCTATTACAACGAGAAATGCACTGGCGCGGTCGTGGGTCAACAACTCTTTGGAGGAGGACCAACGAGTGGAACCAACGACAAAGCTGAGAGTATTAGCATCTTCTACTAGTTCGTTTCGGCGAGACGCATCAAGGAGAGCTTCGTGGGCCTGTAGGAGTTCCAATGCCCGTCAAACTTGTTTTGAAATAATTGGTATCAAGACAAAAATGCAAGTATTAGTCGATGTTGTATCAAAGAATCATGTTGCTACTTGTTTTCGATAAGAAACGTTTGTGGATGACGAATTTTATGGTATCCTGAGGAATAAAGAGCACTAGAGCAGTAAACCTCATCGCGCCATCATTACTCTACGGTACTTGTGTTATGCTATTGCTGAAACGTCCACTCTGCAACCATGTGGCGTATGCAAATACGTTCACACGATAGAGTCGATAGTTGAATAGACTTATTTCAGACGAGAGAACTGTCCGAACTAAATGTTATTCGGGGGGGTAAGATCAACTGCTCTAACAGTAGATAAAGCGAGTCTTATATACTGTAGAGTAAGGAACAACAAAGTAAATGAGAAAAATAAGGGAAGATGTTGCCTTGTAACGATGAAGGCTTTTAGGAACGCTACATACGCCCTCCAGGTCCTCTCAAAGAGGACCTACTAGTAATCCGTGGTAGGGGGCCATTAAGCCGGAGGTCCATGTGTGGATGCAATGTTCATGGTGCCCATGGCTGCTAGGAGTATGAGGAGGGAAATGTTAACGATAGTCAACAAACCGAGGAGGACGACGCTACTAGTGATGTTCCGGCCCGGCTTCAAGCCCCGGGCCAGCCAAAGCCAGGCCAGATTGAGCCAGGCCAAGCCCAGGCCCAGGTGACGGCCTGACAAGGGCTTTGGCCTAGGCTTCAATTCTGCGAAGCCTGAGCCGCCGGCCCAAGCCGCGGCTTAGAATTATGTAAGTACTGCGCAGGAACCTGATTGTCGACTCTATTTTTGTCATTTTCTTGCTTCTCTTTGGTTCTTGCTTCCTAGTCCATCATACTGTAGGGTATGTCAGAATGACACGGTGAGTCGCCATTGTCGTCTTCTTTAAAAGCTTCCGCTAATACTCACCCCGGTGACGGAAAAACAGACATCACCCGCCGTATCATATTGTGCTGTTTTCAGCAATCTATGCACCTCTCAAGTCCTACTTTGTGCTGCAGCTTCGTGAGCTTGATGGATTCTTGAACAAGCTTCAGTCGTTTATAAATGGTATGTGTGTGTATTTTATCTGTGTAGCTGCCTGCAATGACTGGCATGATGGGCACAGTTCTCACCGATGGCGAAGATGAGCCACGTGTTGTGCGTCCCGTACGCAAAATCAAACCCACTGCTGCCCTCCTTCAACACTCGGAGAAAGCGGCTCTTCCCTCCCAAACAAAAGCTATCAACGATTTCCGTGCAGCTGAGGCCGCCAAGCATGCTTCAGAGGTTTCTCAGCCTGCTGCACTCACAGCGCCTGTACCAGCCACACAATTAGCGCCTCCCCCATCCAACAAACGTGTGTGTCCCGATGATGCCCTCGATGACGATGAATCTGGTGATATGGAGCGTGAGAACGCTCGTGTCAACCTGTTACGACAAACGGTCGTGTGCGACTAGGATAATCTAACAGCGACAACCACGACAGTGGTACCGAGTGCTGAGAGTCGTCGGCCTTTACAGACAAGCAAAGGTTGCGTACTCGAACGTAGCTCGTGGTGGTTAACGAGGGATTACGCCGAGATGATAGCGGGTTTACAGACAGTGAGAGGCGTCACTGAAGGTACGAGTCGATGTCGAGCAGGTAGCTTTAGCGGGACAAGGAGTTCAAGGGTAAACCTAGTTGATTAGACTAGTTCTGGGATGTACCTAGTAAGATTAAAGTAAGGAACATCTACTTTAATCTTCGACCTTATATAAGGCTACTCTTCGTATCTAAGCTCAGCCTAAAGCTGGGTTCTAATCTGCTTATCTACATGAGTCAGAGATAGCGTCCATGAGGCGGGCTTCTATCGTAGATAGCGTTCATGCGGTACGCTTCCATCAGAGATAGGATCCACGTGGTATCCTTCTATCAGTACATGAGGCAACACGAGGCTTGCCTTCTATCTTGATAACATAAATAGGTCTTCTAGACCTATGTCATCATGTCATGTCACGTGCGGTCCAGACCGCTTATCTAAGCCGGCAGTTGCCGCTTATCGTCTATCACATCTATCGTCATCTGTCGTCTATAGAGCTGGTGAGGCTCCGGTATCGTCTATAGCCGTGCGAGTGGCAGAGGGCTCTCTGCTGGCGGGGGACTCGTGCCATGTTACTGTAACACAACCCTAAGCGTGCTAGAAGGAAGCGCAAGTCCCCAGAGAAGTCCCCAGAGTTAGTTGATGAAGATGGGGTTCTTGTTGATGTCGACGTCTCTATCGCAGACCCAGGGTCATCTCGGGAAGGCAAAACTGCTGACATTGACAACTTCTTCGGTGCAGCGTTCGAACACACTGGCGCCAATGGCAAAGTGAAGAAGCACAGAAAGTGCAATATTTGCCCGTAAGTTTGCCTTTGCACTGTCATAGTACTTACTCACTCAATCATTTGTAGGAAAAAATGTATTCTCGTCATCATGGCAATGTGTAAGACGTTGTTTAGTTAATGTTGGATAATTGGTCTGATTTTTACAAATGCAGTACTTGATCCAGTGGGGAAAATGGTTTGAGACTATCGAGGCCGCTCTACCAGCTGGCATGACCATCATTCAATGGTGGGGGGTACGTGTGTGCCTTATACTACTTAAAATATTCACGCTAATGATTTTGTTTAAGATCAACGCACCGAGATATCCAGTGTGGGCTTCACTCGCACGAGACTACCTATCTATCATGTCATCATCCGTCTCCAGCGAGCGTGCATTTTCACAAGGCGGCATCACTGTCACTAAACGGCGGAACAGGCTCAAAGGAGATATTGTCGAAGCTCTTCAAATTGTCAAGTGTTCGATACGACATGACCTTCTCTTTCGAGAGCCTGGACCGTCATCCCTCATGGAGTTAGAGGAGCTTGATGATGCTGAATTGGAAGCTGGGAGTGACTCGAAGACTGCAGGTGATGATGGTGATGACGAGGATAGTTGGGATATCATGCTTGATGATGCGGAAGACGATGCTGATGACGAAGCTGATGATGAGGTGTCTGACTTTGAGACAGACTAGGTCTGCTCCATGTTGCTTGTTCCATAGTTCTATTGCACTACAATATATAATGTCGCACTGATAGCAAAAGAGCCGCGGCTTCGTTTGGCTCAAGCCGTGGCTTTTGGCCGGCTTTGGCTCATGGCCTTGGCTTGAAATATGGTGAGCCCGAGCCCCCTCAGGCCAAGCCAAAGCCGGGCTGGAACATCACTAGATGCTACCAAACAGCTCTTCAGCTGTGAAGCCATGGCGACGAGCTTCTGCTTCCAGGTCCATTTGCTCGGACTCAGCAATGAGTGAGTCAATTTCTGCGCCAATGTCGCCCTCTGGTTCAGCAGGGGTAGAGGGCGAGGCTAAGGAAGGAGGAGGGGTGATGGACATGGAGGGGGATTGGGGAACCTCGCGAGGTTGCACCCTTGGAGGTTCGGGACGATGAACAGGTCGGTTGTCTAACATCCGATGACAGGATGGGGGCGTGCAATGACCGGCAAAGTGGGCTGCCTCACGCTGACGGTGACGCTCGCGATCGCGATCACGACCATGAGGACGGGGACGGTAGTCTAAGTCACGGTAACGCTCAGTGTGGAGGCGCTGCTTGAAAGCGTGCGCCTCTTTTCTGGTCGCAAGCTCTTTGGCTTGGGCTTCTGCTACAAAGAAGCGAGTGAACACATTGAGTGCGTCGGCATTGGGGGTCTCAACTGGAGAGGGGAGACTTCTATCCCTATGCCCTCCGCGATGGCGGATGAAGTGTCCCCGGGGATCATTGGATGCCATGAGAGGAGAAGAGAAGGGAGTCTCGTGGGGTTGAGTTGAGGGGAGTCTGGGATGAACTGCCTGAACTGCGGTGAGTCTGGACGGTGGAACTGCCTGAACTGCGGTGAGTCTGGGCGAGGTAGGTTTAGCTACCTGAACTGCGGGGAGTCTGGGAGAGGCAAGTTCTTTAGCTGCCTGAACTGTGGGGAGTCTGGGCGAAGGAACTGCCTGAACTGCAGTGAGTCTGGGCGAAGGAGGATCACCGTGCGGGGAGTTTAAGTATCCCTCGCTGGGGCTAGGTCTGAATTGGTGAGAGAGCTCATCGAGTAGTCGGTCGACAAGTCCGAAGGTAGCGTCTCGAGCATCCACGAAATTATCCACGGTAGCAACACTAACGTCGTGGGAGGGGCCCAAAATTTTCTTCGGCAAGTGTTTGATGCCAGGCACCCCCAGTCCCTCAAGGTATTGGCTGACAGCCTCTAACCGGGAAACTTCGTGGTAAGGGAGCCATATGCGGTCCCCAGTTGAATATTCTATCTCGAAGATAGAGTCAGTACCCTGCCCGTGGTGATCCGTTACTTTAGAAACGGACCATTCCTCGAGGCTTCCGATATCGCTAATTTGAGTTAGCTGCCGGCCAGGGAACTGCCGGTCGTCATTAGCTATATGGGGTCTGAGGAGGTGGGCGTGAAATGCGGGGTGTAAGCCGCGTTGCTTAAGGTCTGCGGGGAGGTCCAGCAAGAACGAATTGTTCTTGTAGTCGTTTAGTATCTTGAACGGGCTGATAAACTTGGGGGCGAGTTTCCTTGTGCGTCCCTTAGGTAGGGCGATGTTCTGGGTAGATAGATAAACGAGGTCACCTTTTACAAAGGGTGCCTCCTTGCGTTTATGATTCGACAAGGATGTGCTTTTAACGCGGGCAGCGATGATGGCGTCATGTGCAGCCATGGCCGAGTCCTTCATCCGTTGAGCGAAGATGTGGACTCCGGGGTACTCACACTTTGTGTTCCAGATCATCGAGGGGGGCATCATGCCGTAGATGAGTTTGAATGGGGGTGATAGTCTCGTAGCAGAGCTCGTCGAGTTAATAGCGAATTCAATAGAAGGCAGCTTGATTGCCCAGTCATGCTGAGTAGCGGATACGCATTGCCTAAGCAT